TAAGATAAAATGTCTTCAGTAATATTGGTTATTTTGGATTTTACTTGCCTTTTAGTATTATATTGTGATTTTTCATTGCTATTATTATCTGATAAATAAAAACATTTAACTATTTATAGTTAGCACTTAAATAATTATATATTTTTCATTTAATTTCAATGTAATTTCTTTCAAGATCTATATATACTTTCATAAGCTGTAAACACCCATAGCTTCAAAGGACTTCAGGTACTTGCCAGTGCAATTAAGAGTAGATTCCTACATATTTTTATACTGTACAAGTACATATTTCAATATATGTATTTTAATTACTCAGAATATTATTCCTCTGTAACTAAAAAATTGTTACAGGTATGTTTGTTGTTGTTATGTGCTGTCAAGTCGGACCCGATTCATAGCGACCCCTCCTTGGGTTTCCGAGGCAGTATCACTACGGAAGTACATTGCCCCGTCTTCCTTCTGAGGAGTGGCTGGTGGGTTTGAACTGCCAGCCTTCTGGTTAGCAGTCAAGTGCCTTTAGCCACTATGACCAGAGCTCCCATTACAGGTATAAGAATTGGGAATTGAAAACTTCTAATATATGTCATGTCATCACATTCCAGTTTTCCATTGTTGCGTTCTTTTCATTTAATCAAAAGTAAACCAAACACATATCTATGATATATCTGTTGACTATCAATGGAATAACAAACAGATATGTTTAATTATGAGAAGTCAAAAACCAAAATATGCTACCATACTCAAATATCATATATGCAGAATAATAAAACCAAATTAACCTAAAATTTCAAATATAAACTTGCTATATTATGTATATCAAGTCTAATAATTATTTTTTAAAAAAAGTAAAATAAACACATATTATATCACTGCATGCTGATGTTCATATTCTTTACTTAACAAATAAATTCACAGAAAACTAATGAACATAAATAAGAAATATTAATAAAACTTTTTATGTTTGTGTAATAAACATTGTGATTTAGCCTTTAAAAATCAATATACACACACAAACAAATCAAAATACTTGTATGGATCTTACTGCTAAAATGAAATCACTTTTTTTCCCCATGATATGATAACTATACTATTTTAGTCTAGGGTAACTGTAAACTTGGATATTACACAGAAAAATATAAACCAAAATAAATAAATAAATAAATACAAATCACTGTCATTGAGTCAATTCCAACTCATAGCAACCTTCATTGGGTTTCCAAAGCAGTAGATCTTTGTGGAAGCAGACTGCCTTATCTTTCTTCCACAGAGTGATTTGAACTACTGACCTTTTGGTTAGCAGCCAAATGTCTTAACCACTACAGCACCAAAATTCCATACAGAAAAGTATATCACAGATAAATATTTATTTGAGCTCTAAGTAATCTCTGATATTATATTACGTTAAAACGTTTTTACCAGTTTGCTATTCCTGAGTAAAATATATTAGAAGACATTACAATCTCTAGCAACAGAAGAAAGCTCACCTTATTACAAAATTGTGACTGTCAATCTCCTTTCCACATTCACTATCTAGAAGAATGCCAGAATTTCCAACAACTGCGCAGGTCTTAAACCTGCGATTTTTCATTGGTGAAACTTCAGGCAGGAGGCTATGCAGGTCATGAGAAATATTTAGTGTTCGACGCCTGTCGAGCACATAGTGTATTACATCACCAGGCTTAAAACTGCTCTTCACCACTGAGACATCTCTTTCTGCATCAAGGAAACGAAGTATGTTCTTCCTATATTGGAAATACAATGAAAGTTTTCCATTAATGACAATACTTCCAAGTATTACTTCCAAGTAATGTCATTTACAAAGTAAAATATGATGAAATATAAACCGGCAAACTAAAAATCTTAAATTGTAGTTTAATTAAGTGATAATTAAACTATCGAATTAGTAGATTTTAAAGGAAATGAAATATATTTTGAGTATTTACATAGGGATTGCTAATGATTTTGTAAGCATACAAAGCATAGACATTTTTTTTTTTTTTAAATATAACTTTTTTATTGTTATTTCGGTTAAAGTTTACAGAGCAAGTGGTTTTCCAGTCAGTGATGAAAAACACTTTGCCTCTGGTAGCGTAGTGGCCTAAGGCCTAAGGCCTAAGACTGCTAACCAGAAGGCTGGTGGATCAAACCCAACTGCCACTCCTCAGAAGGAAGATTGGGCAATCTACTTCTGTAGTGATACCGCCTCAGAAACCTAAGGAGGGTCATTATGAGTCAGGTCTGACTTGATGGCACATAACAACAACAACATCTAGTATAGAGAAAAACTAATTTATTAAATAAAATGCACTTAATATGAATTCTATATTATATATCTAGATATTCTGCTAACTTAAATAAAAGTTGGGCAATCACTTCCATAGTGATACTGCCTCAGAAACCCAAGGAAGGGTCGCTATGAGTCGGGTCTGACTCAATGGCACATAAAAACTACAACAAGAGTAAGCAACTTATTTTAATATTGTCTAGCTATGAGTTGGAAGCAACTCAATGATGGTGAGTTTGGTTTTTGGGTTAGGAAACATAGAAATAACTTTATATTGTTTTGTATTGTATTATAGTGAACTTTTTTAGGAGGCCTAAAATTTCTTATAAATATATAAAGTCATCTAAATCTTATGCATTATTATGATTATGTGAAGAAGAATAAAAACTATAGCACAGTCAATATAGTTGAACATTTTCTTTCAAGCTTATCAGCCTAGTAGCTAAGAAGAAGTGCATGTGAAAATAGAAATAGAAGGGAAATTCCTGAACATAATAAAGGGTGTATATGCAAAACCAAAAGCCAACCTTAGGCTCAGTGGAGAAAGACTCAAAACATCCCCCCTTGTGAATGGGAACCAGACAAAGATACCCTCTATCACTATTTAACATGGTACTAAAAGTCCTTGCCAGGGGAATAAGGCAAGAAAGAGAAATAAAAGGCATCCAAATTGCCAAAGAAGAAGTAAAACCATCTCTATTCACAGATGACATGATTCTATACATAGAAAACCCAAGATAATCAGCAAGAACTGGAACTAATAAAAAGTTTCAGCAAAGTGGTAGGATGTAAGATCAACACTCAAAAATCAGTTGTGTTCCTCTGAATCAACAAAAAAGATCTTTGAAAAGGAATTAAAGAAAACAATACCATTTATAATAGCTACCATCTTTTTTTTTTTTTTGGTCCATCTTTTTGGTAGCTATTGTAAATGGTATTGTTTTCTTTATTTCCTTTTCAGAGATAAAATAGTTAGGAACGATTTTCACCAGGGAAACAAAAGATCTATACAAAGAAAAATACAAAACACTGCCATAAGGAACTACAAGAGACCTACAAAAATGGAAGAACATGCCATGTTCATGGGTAGGAAGACTGAATATTATGGAAATGTCAATACTACCCAAAGTAATCTATACATTCAATGCAATCCTGATACAAATTCCATCAAAATTCTTTAAGGACACGGAGAAAACAATCACTAACTTCATATTGGAAAGGAACTAGACCTCAGATAAGAAAAGCAAGTCTGAAGAAGAAAAACAAAGTAGGAGATCTCACACTCCCCAATTGTAAACCTACTATAAACCTACAGTAGTAAAAATAATGTGCTATTGGTACAATGATAGACAAATCAACCATTGGAACAGAATTGAGAATTCAGAAATGGACTCATCCAGCTATGGAAAGCTGATCTTTGACAAAGGGCCAAACCTATCAAATGGGAGAAAAGATAGCCTCTTTAGCAAATGGTGCTGCTAAAATTAGATATCCACTTGTAGAAAAGGAAATAAAATTCATACCTCACATCATACATAAAAATGAACTCAATATGGATCAAAGACTTGAATGTAAAACCCCAAACCATAAAGTTCATCAAAGATAAAATAGGGGAAAATCTAGGAGTCCTAATTTAGCGTATAAATAGACTATCAAGCATAACCCAAAATGCACAAGCAGCAGAGAAACAATATGACTGAGACCTTTTAAAAATTAAATTATTATGTGAATCAAAAGACTTCTCCAAAAGAGTGAAAAGAGAACCTATGGCTTGGGGAAAAAAAAAAAAGAAAAGAAAAAAGGGACTTATTTCTGAAATCTATAGAAAACTTCAATACCTCAATTTTAAAAAAGACAATCCAACTCAAAAATGGACAAAAGACATGAACTAACACTTCACTAAAGAAGATGTACAGGCAGCCAACAAACACATGAGGAAATACTCACAATCATTAGCCATTAGTGAGATACAAATCAAAACAACAACAAGATATCATCTCACCCCAGCAGTAATAGCAAAGTTCAACAAGGCAGAAGATAAAATATGCTGACAAGGGTGTGGAGAGATTGGATCTTTCATACACTGCTGGTGGGACTGTAAAATAGTACAGCCACTGTAGAAAACAGTATGACATTTCCTTAAAAATTAGAAATACAAATACCATTTGATCTAGCAATTCCATTACTAGAAATATATTCTAATGAGTGAGAGTCAAGACATGAATAGACATGCATACCCATGTTCTTTGCAGCACCATTCACTATAGCAAAGAGATGGAAACAACCTAAGGGTCCATCAATAGATGAATGGTTAACAAAAGGGTGGTACATTCACACAAAGGAATGCTATGGAACATTAAAGAATAATGAAGAATCCATGAATCACCTCATAACATGGACAGATTTGGAGGACATTATGCTGAGTGAAATATGTCAATCATAGAAAGAGAAATATTCTATGAGTCCATTTTGTTTTTGTTGGTTATTTTTTAAAACATCAAGGAATGGTTTAGACAGGGAAGGAAATTTGCTTTGTTGGTTACCAAGTATAGGATGAAAGGAGATGGAAAATTTCTGACTAGTTAAGAGTCATGTATTGATTTGGGTGAAGAGAAAGGCAATATAACAAAGTGTGTAACCAGCACAAAGACAATAGAGAAAAGAAAGACACAGAAATGTGCATAATAGATATACCAAAACAAAACCAAACTCACTGCTATTGACTCAATACAACTCATAGTGACTCATCCTTGGATTTCTGAGGTGGTATCCCTATGGAAGTAGATTGCCCAATCTTCCTTCTGAGGAGTGCCTGGTGGGTTTGAACCACCATGCTTCTGGTTAGGAGTCAAATGCCTTAAGCACTACACCACCAGAATAGACAGAAGTAAATGTTATTACATACATAACACTGCATTATTAGTGGCAGCAAACAACAGTCTATGAGTAAATGAGTAGATAGGTGAGAATATATTGTGTGTGTAGGTGATCAGGAATATACCCATGACTGTGGATAGATTTGGCTGAAGATGTTCCTACTTATGTATTTGGGCTACAAAAAATATGCATATACATTACAGAAGTAACAGGGAAAAGAGTTGGGGTAGCTTTTCAATGACAAACAAACACCTTGAGGGAGAGAGTTATTGGCCCAGTGGGATTGGAACCATGGTCTTGGGGGGATATCAAGCTCAATTTGCACAACGTAGTATATAAAGATCTTGTTCTGCATCCTACTTTGGTGAGTAGTGACTGACATCTTGAAAGCTTTCAAGTGACCATCTAAGATGCAACTCTTAATATCCACTCATCTAGAGCAAAGAAGAGTGAAGAAAATCAAGGTCATATGGCAACAATGAGTCTAAGGACATGATGGATCATGGGACTTCAGCCTTCATGACCCTGAGATCAGAAGAACTAGATGGTGCCCAGTCACCAATGACAACCACTTGGAAAGGGGAAAAAAAAAAATGGAGATCTTGCATAGAGTGGGAGGAAAAAATGTGGAGGAAAATTCAAAAACACAAAAATGACAATTACTGGTCGGAAAGAGCTGTGGAAGCTCCAAGACTATGGCCCCAGGGTTATCCATCAAGCCTGGATCTGAAGTCACTTCTGTGGATTAGCACTCTGCCAAACAGTAGAAAGGCCTACAACAAAACACCTTCCCCAGGGACATGCACCTATTTGGTCAATCAACCATGAGACACCAGAAGGGCAGCATTTGTATAGTGGGAAACATGGACAGACAGGAGTGCATAGATAAGAAGGGCACAGAGAAGGGGTAGTCACAGGGAGGAGATAGGAGGAGAGGTTTTATTGTTGGGGTTGTAATTGGGGCAATGAAACCAAATGTGCAAGAACTGTTGAGAGTAAAATGAATCTGATTTGTAAATATGCACCTAAATCATAATAAAAAATTAAAACAATGAAAAAAGAATAGGTACTTTAGTGGGCTTGTTATGAGTTGACTGAGAAAATATAGCAAAAATTTTTAACACAATGCTTGGAATATACTAGATGCTCAATAAATAAAAGCTTTTATACCATAATTATATCTATCTATCTATCTATCTATCTATCTATCTATCTATCTATATGGTGGTTAAATTTGTGTGTCAACTTGGCTGGGCCTGGTTTAGTGGCTGGCAGCTGGATGTAGTAGTCCCCATGATGAGACTGGCAATCAATTCCATGGTGGACTCTACTGTGAGCAGCTGAATAGCTGCCTTTGGATATGTGGGCTACTTCCCATAGATAAGATGAAACTTTGGTAATGGTCTCTAGCTTATGGCATGCTTGAAACCTGCATGTAGCCTTGTCATTGTTCAGTAGCCTGTTATGCTCTGCTGACCTTGGGACTTTCAAATGGACTTAAATTAATGGTCTGCCATGTGGTTTGGTAACATTGGGACTGTGCCATTTTATTTGTCAACTTTGGCTTGTTAGCCTCAGCAG